ATGGACTGACTGAAGTGTGTCAGGGTCGAGTTCTTTCCCCAGGCACTACCTGTATTTTTCTGCTGCCAGACTGTTTAAGAAGGACCATGGTCCTATTTGAGTCTTTTGCATTCATATTGCAATCCTTAAATCATACAACTGCCCATCCCCTGCATAATGCTAATAACTGGTGCTGTTCAATCCACTAATAGAAAATGTACCATAACCCAGAGAAAATAAACACTGATTAGATACAACATACAGCATGTGAAATTTATTAGTGAAAAAATATCTCCAGATCTAACAAGAATTGGGAACACCTTTTTATTTAATCTCTAATCTGTTTAGCTCAACAACCAAACTTAATCGAGGAGGAAAGTTTCATGTCATGGTGTAATATTAAAACTAACCTGATACAAACAGTCTGATATAAATATATGTAATCCTTCGGCACTGATGAATGTACATAGCTTGACATAATTAATCCTGTCTGCCAACTTTAATGTGTAGGAATTACAGTTCACTCCCCAGCTGATATCAGGATCGTGCCATTTTATCAGCTTGTTAAGAGCATGGTGTTCTACAGCAGAATTTCATTACTTCAGCGCTCTTCAAAGCTCCAAACTTTATTTTCAATTTCAGATGCCAAGAGCTAAGATGGGATGAGCAAATTTAGTATTTTTTGGTGTGTCATTTTTTTCTTTCTGTCCTTTGTGTTTTTATTTAGTCAGTGCTATCTAAATATATATTTTAGTGGTTCTTTCTGACATGAGCTAACATATCAGCATAGAGCAGATGCTGTAAGCAATCATCACAGCCACAATGACAATAACCTCTGCTGGTCACATGCAGGTGAAAAGCAGGTGGCTTTTTCTAGAAAAGAATTTTAAATCAAGAGAAAACCTGCAGATGAGCAGATAGGGAGAAGAGAAGGAGGGGAGGGGAGTAAAAAGAAAAGAAAGGAAAAGAAAAAAGAAGGGAAAAGAAAGGGAAAGGGGAATATTGAAAAAGGGGAAAAGGAAAAGAAATTTACTTTGTTACTTTCTTTCACTGTCTTACCTTCATGCCTTTTACATTAGGATATTTAATCTTTTTCCTTTTTCTATCTGATAGCTTCTTTCTAAGAGACCTGCAAACATTTGAAGTAGTACCATTATTTATAAATATATATATATATGTAATATTATTATTTATTTTCAATGCAGAAAGAGCCAAAGCAATGCTGGCCTCCCGAATCAAGTAACACCACAGTACCTTTTCCCCCAGGGAGAGGTCCTGTTACGGGCTGCTGGGCCATGGCAGTGGTACCTGATGGGTCCCAGCTGCCTGCAGCAGCCGGGGCTGGATGCTGCTCTCTTTGCTGTGGGGGAGGTGAGGTAATACATGCTGCTCTGACAGCAATTGAATAAACCTGGCCCGAAGGCTGCCTGCAATGGTAGGTAACTGATAAATCAAATTTTGATCTATGCAGGGATGAATGGAAAAAAGGAGAAAAATGTTGAACTTTTTACCTCACCAGAGGGAAGGAAGGAGCTGATCTACATCTCAGATTCATCTGCTCTACAATATGTGAAGCAAAACTGTTACTGTGCAGGGCCTCATCACCATCTAAAATTGAGAAGTGATGCAAAGAGAATATGTGAACACAGCAGAGAAAAAACTGCATCTAACAGTAGGATATCTTGTTAGCCCCTACCTGTACCACACACAGCCTTGCTCCACTTTCTCCTGCTGTGAGCACTGTCAGTGTCTACTCACATGGGCCTAGAAAGAACCTTAGCAGCTGATTTTTTGGGTCCCTGCACTCATCAATGGAAAAATACAAAGATGCTGCAGACATGTTTGAGATATGGCCACAAGTGAAGGTCAGTGTGAGTTTTTTTCCAGTCCAAAGCACAAACTTAAATCCCTGAAAGAGTGTGGATTTTGATAACCAGCTTCTGAGTCCAGAGGACTAATGAGACAGAGCGTCTCTCATATCTGAACATACGGAAATAAAAAATTACATTTTTTACCCTCCTCCTGTTTTGACATCTCAGAATAGCACAGCATCCTTTCCTAATAATACAGTAACACCCCCCTCCTTCCAAACAAAATATCCAGAGGTGGAAACAACTGGCAGCTTCTCCCTTCCCTTCATTATTACAGCTCATTCACTTCCTCTGGGAAACACGAAAGAGGAATGTTTTGCTAGGATTGCGTAAATGGGAGTTCCAGCTTGCTGCATGCGGGTCAGAGGGTCATCTCACCCTTCAGGAACAGCAGAGAGAGGATGGGGGAAGTTGGTGTGCAGTGAAACACTGAACTGAGGAGTTATTTAATAGGGGAAAAGATGCAAAATTTTTCACTGATCCTTACAGCAAACCTGTGCAAGTTGTTGGAATCAGAAAAAGTGGTAGAAACACATAATGCTGTACACAGACAGGTAAGCTAAGGGGTCAGTCTGGGAAAAAAGAGTGCAACAGGGAAGTAAATAAGTTGAGCAGCTTCTGGGAAACAGGGGGTATAAAAAGAATAATAAAGTTCTGCTAAATAGCAGAGGTTATACATTCATGTAAAGAAAAACTAAAAATTCACTGAAAAATTATATCTGGAGGAAAGGTCTCAAAAACAAAGGCTGCAGAAATTTGAGAATAAAGAGAAGGTGGCTTTGGAAAATTAGTGAGTAATATTTCTGTTACTTTCTTTTCCCACAGCTATTCCCTCACATATATACCCTTTCCAATAGTCAAGTAACATTTGGTTCTTAAGGGAGTACAATCCTCAAATCCTGCTGAGAACTTTCAAGAACTTGATGGTTAATATCCAGAGGATCCTTTGAAACTCCAAGGCACCATTATAGATGCATTTGCTAGCCCCACTTATGATTTATGTCTTGAGCAGTGTCTTATGCCAGAATTCACCAGTCTGTAACTCTCCTTGGGTAGCACTCTTGGCAACAGTTTAATACTTCTTACACTTAGGCTGTGATCTTACACTGAGGTTCTAACTTTTGAGACAATAAAGAACATGCAGAAACAGTAATTGATCTCTGTCCCTCTCATGAATCACCCACTCTTTTTAGGGGTAGTCTGTTTTCACTGTATTTGATTCCTTCAGTTTTACTTGTGAGAGCACAGATCATGAATGTGAGGATGCTGCATTGTAGAGGTCATCAGTGACTTAACAAAGCCTTAGTGACTAAAAGCTTCAGTACAAGTTTAGAATTGTCATTAATTTCATGCATTAAATTTTTCTTAAATCAGGAGAAACACAATAAATATTAAGGAAAATTCACTACCCTCTTTGACCATCTCACACTGTCAAAGGAGTAGCAGCTGAAAACTGATATGCTCTGCAAGTATGAATCATAGCATAACACCATATTTAGGGCCCTAAGTAAACTCTTTGTCTCCAGGATTCTCCAGAAAGGCAAAGGCACCGAAGGCTGTTCTGTTCAGCAAAGCAGTTAGTTGAACATAGAGATCAAGAAATAACCAAAGAAAGGTAGCTTTCAGTTAAAAAGCTATTTTTTTAATAGAAAAAAAATAAATTAAAAAATGCAAGATTCATCCTCATTTTAATAGGAGTCTCATTATGACTTCAGTGAATGCCACATGAACTTACTTGAGAAATATTAATGGATATAAACTGGCATTTTTAAAACTTCCACTGTGGATAAGATCTTGCTCAAAGTTTAAGAATTCTGAGAATGGAAAATCTGTGCAGGATATCCCTAAAGGAAAAGGAAAGGGGAAAAAGATTTTATCTGGTGTCTGAATTTTAGTAGCTTATATTAGAAATTTGCTATAATTTCTCACATGAAACCCATAAGGAAATGTAAAGGTACTCAGAAATCTTAATCCATACAGATAGCTTTTCTGGGTCCAATGGAATCATAATGTCAATACACATGAGGACTGAATATCTGCCCAAGTATGCAACTGTGTTTATATATACAGATATGTAGATATAATAATGCTAAATGATCTGCTGGTTAAAACAAATCTTTCCCACTCAGGATTTCAGGGATCTGCTGTTTTTAACACTAGCAGATGACTCAATCTTACAGGATGCTCTGTATTGTCAATTACTATTCAACTGGGATTATTGTGTGGGTAAAGAGAAGGGGTGGAGGTGGAAATTATGTATATGCAGCTTCTGCCAAAGAAACAAGATAACTTTTTAAGTCTTATTTTTGCTGTGATTCTTGAAGAAATTGTATCTATTATAAGTAGGCAGCAGAGTGATAGAACAAGACATTTGACTTGAAAATAAGTATTTACTTGATAAGGACCTCAAGTGAAGATCCAGCTCCAATGAAAGTATTTGCAATGCCTTGCAACTTCAATTACACCTTCAGCATAAATGATTCCCTGCTAAAATCATATGGCTTTCTCTCAAAATATACCTATTTGAAAACACAAAGCAGACTGCTTTGCTATTTTCATAACTTTAAAAACTAACACTGAACACAGTTCATTTTATCCAGAAGTAATTCACAGAGCAAGCACCTTTCATGGAGTTAGTTCATCACTTAGTGCTTCCCAGCCTTCTGTATTTTGTCATGCAAATCTATACAGCTCTGCCAATGGAAATGAATGAGATAGAAAGGGAAAAAAAATAACCTAATCGCCTTTATAAAAAACATTTTTTTGCAAATTTTAGCAAAATTTTTCAAATTAGTAAAAAAAGTAAAAAAGTAAATTTTTCAAATAAATTTAATGAGAAATGTAAAGTCAGTTATGTACAAGTGGAATATGCGTTAAGATTTTCCCCTGGGAAAAAAATCCAATTTTTCTGAGGTGTATGGTGGCCCCTAGTGGCCCCTACCTTCAGACCAAAATGTGACAGCTGTCATGTTTTAAAACATACTTGTTGGGATGACTTATTTCAAACATATTATGTTAGTGCAAATGACATAGTTATTAGCTTTTTTTATCTGCAACTGCATGCAAGTGCCCGATGCTTTTTATCTTCTGGAAAGAATGCCATAAATATATCTATATATATAGATAGATATATAGATATATATGTATGTATGTATATTAAGATGCATTCAAATTAAAGAGGAGCTTGAATCCAATTCCTTCATTCAAACATCCTTGCAAAAGCATATTAGGTTCATTTTCAAAAGGTTTTAGCTCTAAACATCTTCCCTGCAAACAGATTTCTGATACTTCTTCATCTGAGTTTATTGCAGTGTAGAGAATACATAGAAATATAAGGATAGAAAAAAAACTCTGGTGTTTCCACGTCCAAAGCATAAATTCTCAAAATTTTTGGTTTTGTCTCATCTCCTAGAAGTGCATAAATCTTGGGGAAGCCTTAAATCCTTTGATATGATGCATTTTAAGGATTTTTACACCTCTGGTTTGAGGCAGCCCCAGAGTCACCCATGCTATGGTGTTGAGAAGCAGAAGAGTGTCACACAGCAAGCATGAGAACGTGCTTTGGTCTAGAGTTAACATTGCTCTGCAGAAAGCCACCTTCATTTCCTCTCATCCACTAATGCTGAATCCTTCACGTGTCAGAGATGCTCATAAGAAGAACAGATTACAGGTCTGTAACAACAGATCTTGCAGATTACATTACAGGATCTCTTCTGCTTTGGTTGGTTGCTTGTTTTATGATGACTGACAAGTACTTCTTAGTTAAAAATTCTTGAGAGGTGCCTAAGAAGATAATAAAGAACATAACTGTATGATCATTATAATATTGGACACTAAAACAGTGAAACAAATTGAGTTGGCTGAGCTGTAGGAACATTTGTGTTCAAAATGGATCTTCTTGTGAACACTATTATCTTCAAATAACAATGTGAAAATTCTTCCCAGGCTTTAAAAGACATTCTTTATTGCTTCCTGCAGCCTGATGAAGACCAATTAATGCTTTGAAAATAATGTGATATGTCCTGGACTGACTGTTACAGTGCTTTATAAGTAAGCATTTCATATATTCAGAAAATTCGTAATTTTTCTAAAAAACTGGTGGCTTCATAATTGGTGCTATATAAATCTGGCTTGTATATGCTGTGGTATTCTCAAAAAGCTTTCTTACTGAATATTTAGCAGATAAAATCATATTTGGTTATCTTGCTAGTTCAAATAAACATTACCTCAATTTCAGAGCTGTAGCACAGAAATAACTATAGCTTTAATTTCACAGTAGAATCATTTCCATGGCATTTAACATATAATGAATAATTGTGATACAATAAACTGGGAAATGAAGTGTTTCTACAGGGAAACTCTCATCTGCAGAGACACTGATGGAATGTCACTCCCAGTGCATGCTGCATGGCAAATCATTTACTGCCATTTTACTGAGCTCTGATCTACCGGGAATTGACTGTGCCATATATTTCTGAAAGCTGTTGTTATCAGGAGACAGCTGCTAATGACAGTGGCATATAAATCCTAGAACACAGACAGAATAAATCCAGAAAGTTGCATGCTGACCCTCAGGAATTTCCCCTTCCAGTTTTCATGTCATTGTGGTCTGCAGACATCCCAGATCTGGGTTCATACTCTAAACCTTTTGGGTCCTTCATACTGAGACAGGCAGAGCTTTCTGTATTCCTTCTTTTCTTTACTCTCAGTCCTAATTGTTGGGTCTTCTATGTATGGAGTCCTGTCCTATTCATTTTGTGCCAAGCACTCCTCCAAGTTTTTCTTTTTAGAAAAGACCCTTCTGTTATGTAGTGTTACCTTCCTTTTCCACATATCTCTCCTAAAGTATTTTTGACCTTGCTATATCCCTATACACCGAAAACAGGAAATTTAAAAATCTAACAAAGAAGGTCAACAATTCACATATTTTCCCACTATAAATAAACCACATGATCTGACATTTTAATATAAAAAACCCGTCTGTGTGACCTCTAAAGCAAGACTTTAACTCATCAGGGCCCTTGTAGATTTGGATCCCCTTAAGGGATTGGAGAGCTTGATTGACTGGGATTGCTGAACTGGGATCTACAGTGCTGAGAAACTGAAGTTTTACCTTTAGAAACAAGAGATAAAACAAGTGGCGACTTGTTTGTGGCACCTTGGAACTTTATCAGCCCCTGCCAAGGTGGTGTAAATCAGCCCCTGGGAGGTGTGTGAGAGCTGCATCTTTCACAGTGGATTCATGTCTCTTGGAGCTTTTTACTTTGAGGCATGGGTACCCTATCTCTGGAAGCCCAGGGGTGGCCATGGCCATGTCCTGCCTGGCAGCTGCTGTGTTTGCTGCTGTTTGGGGGGTTTGGTCACCTGCAGAGCCCCACGCACAGGATGCTATCTGCTGCCATGTCTCTGCTGACATCCCCCACTCTCACACCACCCACTTGCAGAAATGGGTGAACATTTCTTGATTTTTTAATATTTTTTTTAAGGAACTTGAGAACTCTCAAGTTACATCACTTGTGAGATGAACTTTCTTCCTACCTGAGATTTGTTTTGTGTATATATACAATCAATTCTCTTTGTGTATTAATACTCTCCTAGAATCAACTTTAGCATATGTCTGTATTGGCTGTCGATTTCTTCATAAATACATCTTCCCAAGGAAACTCACTTTCAGACTCCAAAGCCCTGAGCACTGCAATGATCATCAATTGTCTGTTTCAACAGAGAAACTCTCCAACTATTATGAAATATAAGCCTTTTCTGGATATACACGTGTTTGAGATTCATTCATATATTCACTAACCCTTGTACCAAGTGAACACACACATTGTGTCACCCTGTACCACATTAGGAGGAAAGTCAGTAAATTATGTAACTTAAATTATGTAACTTGTAATTTAAAAAAGTACCGGTGCCAGAGCCCTGGTGTAGCCACCTTCAATTATTTACAAAAACAGACCCAGGGAGGGTCTCCAAACTTTTTTAAGGAACACAAAAAAAGCAGATTTTAGACACACCTTGAATGAAATTGAAACCACTTATTGCATTATAACATTGTATCTTCCAAATAAAAGATTGCAATCGACAGTCGGGAAAAGCTCAGATGCAGAAATTTACTGTTAAACTAGGTTTCTAGTGCATGCTGAACTATGTAACTCAAAACTGGTCTCTTACACTATTTAGGAAATGTGGAAAATGTTTCTGGCATCCTTAAGTGGAAAATCAATCATTTTTAGTAAGCTTGCTCAGAAAAAAATCTTGGTCTGAAGTGTCTGGGTGTGTCTGCTTATACATGAATTTTGTATTTGTAAATGTCCAAATTTAAGTGTCCAGTAACACAGGCACAGAAATACTAAAACACTGAAGACTTATATGAAAATCTAGCTTCCCCTCTTATTATTTTAAATATAAAATTTAGAAGTATTTACCAAAAAACCTTTGGGTCTTGACGAATTTACCCAGTTTCTGAGGGCAAATGCATGGCCAGGCTTTGTAACTTCCACAGCCTGCCATTTGCTATTATTTCTTATCCAACCTCTTAAAAATTCAAACTCAATTGTTTAAAAACAGGGTGGGGGAAAGATAAATATAACTTAAACATATACAACAAATTTTTGATGGCTTATATCTACTCTAGAGGAGGAATTTTGGGTTGTGACAATGCTTTGAGGTTTTCTATAGCACTACTGGTAAATAAATGCACAAAGCCTGTTTTTCTTCCCTGCTTTTCACCTGATGGTACTGTGACTTAAAATGAACAAGCAGAAAGTGTCAGACACCACTGAATCATGATGAGAGCACAGTGAACTTCCTGCTGAGTCAGGCAATGGCTATTCCAGGTGGGCATTAATATGGAATCAAATGACCATCAGTGCACCATGCCTATTTGAAATACCTCTCTATTAACTTTTGTTAATTTAACTATTTGTTGTTAAAAAAAAACTTGGTCACAAGTTGGAGTGCAAGGAAAATCCCTTGCAGCCAGTTCTTTGCTGGGCATATCACCTTCATAATTACTGCAGCAATAACATGAACTGCTGCTACACACCAGCAGCTTCACCCGTTCTGAAAGCCTTGTGCTGGCCAAGATCACGGTGACTGCTGCCACAGACAAGCAACCTCAATGGCAAAAGATGCCTGTGCATTGCCATACTTCCCAACTAAAAATCTCACTTCATATAAACAGTCAAGCCTCAAAAATTACATTTCATGGAAAATGATTTTGCAGTTACCAGTGTTGGCCTGGGAGGGTTGTGCGGATGAAAATTCAAATTCAGTGTCCTTAGAATGAAATTGGAAATTCAGAATTTACCTTAAGGAGAAACTCTGATTCATCATTGCTTAATTTAAGTACAGAAAAATCCAATTTGGGAAGAAGGGACTTATACTACATTTTTAGACAGGTATATATTATGCATGCATATGTAGTTATATATAATTTTTATATGTATAAAAAATTACCATAAATCAACATCTTCCTCTGCCATAACAAATGCATACAGTTGGGGGTTCATATATGCTGAAAGAAAAAACACATCTGTTTCTATATAAGACTTATACAGGGCTTCACTGCTCAAAATATATCTATGTCTTAACCCTTTTAAAATGTCTTCATTTTCATGCAAACAAACTAACTATATATTTCTTTTACATATTATATTTTGAGTATTAGTATTGATAAAACAGAAAAAATACGTTAATTTCTTCAATTTCTTTCTGTCACTCTGTGGGAGGATGAAAGGAGAACAATGAAGATCACTTTTTTCTTCTCAAAAACACCACAAAATATTTATGAAATATTTACTATAAAAATATAACTATTTAGCATTTTCTTCTTTCAAAAGTAATCTCATAATTCCTGTTAAATCAATTTATTACTGCACAATCTGCTAAGGTCTAATGTGCCAAATATGTCAAAAGGTCCTACAACAACACAGAAGATGTTTGAGAACAGAAGCCAGTTCTGAAGATGTCAAAAGGTCCTACAACAACACAGAAGATGTTTGAGAACAGAAGCCAGTTCTGAAGAAGTGACACAACTGTCTAAGCTTTCTTCTAGGTTAAATCTCACCCAAGTGCTTTCTAGGCCCAATCTAACCTAAATCCTGAGCTTCTGCATTGTGTGACTCTGGCTTCTCTTGACAGAAACCTCATCTGTAGAGAACTGGAGTTCTAGGGTCTGCTTGCAGGACTTTTGTTAAATTTAACCCAGGTTCTCCTACCAACAGACTACCATTAAAATGTGCTTTGTCCCTCTTGCAGAAGCCAGTCTCAAATAAATTTAGCATGCAGCCAGATGTATCAGGAAAGAATAATGGGCAGTTCTGGAGAGAGCTCTGGGTGATACTGAGATCAGTCCGCTTCCTCCAGCAGCTCCTACTTTACCATTACCTTATATCTTATCTGCTTAGCATCCCTCAGGACCTACTCCAGTGCTCCAAAACCTCACCATGTTGTCCATGTGGCATGCAGGGGCATGGGAGTGATCTGAAATAACCATGGGCAAACAAAAGCAGAAGGGGAGCTGAGATGTAGGGATGGCCAAATGCTCAGCAGTAGCACACACAAGGCTTGGAAATGGCCTGTTCTCAGAGCTGCTCCTTCCCCTTCCCATATGGACACAGTCAAAAAAGCCAGCTGGAACAGCCTGAGATTTTATGCAAAAGATCATCTTACAAAATACTGAGCTGTCATACCTCTGCCAGCAGGGCAGACCTCTACTGGGTCCCCCTGCTCCAAAACATCACCGCGTAGCAGGCTTTTGAGAGAACTGTAGTTGGTAAGAAGCAAATTCACTTTACTTTGTTCTAGAAAGACACTGAATAAAAAATAATAAAGCAATTAATTATAATTCACTTGTACATTCTGAGGCAAAATTAACTTAAGGGTCCTGAAACAGAAAATAAAAACAACCAAAAAAGTTCATAAATAAAGCAGGATGTGTTTGTGTGTGTGTTTTGAGTTAAGTGATATATTTGTTGCTTTGAAACAATTAACCCTGAACTTGGGGCTTCATCAGTGAGAGAAAGGGATAAGGCTGATCACAAATAAAAGGGAGGAACGAGAAAGAAAACATAATGAACAACTGCTGCTGCTGCAGCATTCCTCAGTCCAGACACTGAATCCAAACCTGAAACTGGATTGGAAAATAAATCAGTCAGCCAACACATGATTAAAACAGAAGGAAGAGACTGTAAATTCATGCTGCTCATTAGAAGTTTACTGTAATTGCCTTACATGCACAGTGGATAGAGTTTGAACCGGGAAGGTGACCCTGTTGGGTACAGGTGGGGTTCTACAGCAATTGGCACTTCAAAGGCTGTTTATTGAACAATTCAACAGGTTTGGGTGTGGTCCTGAGGCTGACACAGTACTGGAAAACACGGTGTGACTCCTGGCTTCTCATGTTTTCTTTTTCATCTATTTCTTTATTTTGCAAGACTTGGAAGAGTTTCTGAGTTTCTGTATTTCTCCTGTTTATACCTCTGCAGTTTCTACTCAGAAATGTAATAAAGGGACTGATTTTGCCTGTAAGAAACTTCTCTGCTCTGAGGCTTTTTAGGTTTTTTTTCCTTTTTTTTAATAAAGAAATAAAAATGTTGTCTCTGTAGTTTACTGTAGAGAAAAAAAAGTATTACTTCTATTTCTTTATTCCTAACTCCTTTCCCCCAACACCAGTAAAACCTGAAACACGTTTACGGTCCTAAAAACAAATATCTTCTATTTCTTCCTTGAATTCAGTTCATGCCATCACCTTGTCTTAGTAATGGGCCTGAGCTGTAAATGTAAATACAGACCCCAGATATCTTGGAGTGTTTTTATTTTTTTTCTGATTTTCTTGTTTTATCCTTTTTTTCATGTAGATGTCAAATCCATCTGGAAGACTTGCCAGACATTCCTCTTTAAATGCAAAGCTGTCTAAGTCATTCAGCTCCTTGATGTGTTTTAGATGTTTGTGTTGTCATTGTTTGCTACAGGAGAAACCAAAAATCTTAACCTCAAATCTAAGCCAAGTAAAAAGGCAACAGTATCACTTTAATATCTTAATTTTAGATCACCTTTTTGCATCTCTAGATTTAAAAACTTGTCCCATTTCTATATTATGCTTTTTAATAAAAATGAAAAGTCTCCTTACCACAATTTATTAGAAGAAGTAAGATTTTGTAGGGCAAATAAAAAGGAAAAAAAGTCGAAAAACTGATTATGAAATTCTAAAAATACCCCATGAAAGGCAGTGACAGAGAATCACCATCTTGGTCATTTAGAAGGTGTGGAGGAAAAGTGATGGAAATATGCATCTAATAAGACTTTGGCCACATCACTGGTGCTGTAATAGGGCTGTCAGTTTATGTCTTAGTATCCTTATCTTACTTCCCAGACAGTTCCCTTGAAGTGCAGACTCACACAAAGCACTGTTGAAACAGGCCAGGCTCACTAAGAAAAACGATCTGTGAGAATTCTCCCTATTTTCAAAAGAGAGTTTGATGTGAGCACATAATTTTCTTATATGAGCTGTGTCTACAGATAGGGGTTCCCATAGGTTTAAGGCTCTTGGCAAACCAAACTCACTTGGCAAAACTTAGAGCAATTGCCAGAATGGGTGTTGCCATTTCTTCATATTTACTGAACCACTTAATATCAAAATATTCAGAACTGTAAAAAGAAAGACCAATGGTGATATCTTTTCCAGACAGATAATACATCAGTGAGCCTAAGTCTTCAGGGAATAATGATAGTGTCCAGTTTAAGATAAAACCAGCTGCCTTCAGTTTTTCCAGAAGTTCCAGGGTGTTTTTAAACACCTTTTCAAGAGACAGTACATCCTCTACTTTCACAGCACTGACCATGTCTGTCAAGAAACAATGTACAGTAGTCAGGCATTGACAGGATGCAGGAGTACCAAAATTTGACAATAAAATATTTATTTGTTCAAACACTAACACAAACAGCAAACCAAGTTGTTTGGAAACCAAAGTTAAGAAATATACAGCTGTAGAAAGTTTGTTTCTACATTCTTAATACTTTTTTTTGTCCAAATATCTTTTTAATCTAATACCCCCTTAAAAGATTTAAGGTGTCTTAAAGCCTTAAAAGATTTAAGGTGTCTTAAAGATTTTAGCTGATATGTACAAGACACTTCACATGGCTCTACCTAAAACAGATGGCAACAGAAAATTTTTAGATTGCTAAAATGTACAATAAAAGGTTATTACAAAAGAACAGTCTTTGTTTCTATATCCTCAATTTTTAGGAAAGGAAGACTAATGAAATCCAATTATATGCAGCTCAGTTCCTGGGATGAATGCCAACCATTTGAATTGCTCTGTCTCTTATCTTCTCCTTTGACTTTCAGGGCTTTGAGATTATGTCTGTGAAGAATTAGTGAGAAACTTGTATGCTTTAATTTAGCTTTCTATTTATTTTCTCTCCAAAGTGCTACCTCCAAACTATACCTGTTTTCTCACACTGCTATGGTGGTCTTGAACTGGTAAAAAAATATAGTAAATTCTGTTCTCATTTTATTATGGTCTACTTCCCTAATCATAGCAATAAGTTATACAAAAACTTCAACATCCATACAATTTATCTTTTCTTCCACATACTTTCTGAGACATTGATCCCTTTAAAAACAATTAGAGAGAAAAGAAAGCCCTCAGTTTAAAATTTTCAGAATCAGAGAACCACTTCTGTCTCTTGTAATAATAATCTGAATTCAAGAAACTTCTTTCTACTGAAGAAAGTCAGCACATAAACATCCTGAGAAACAGCCCATAAAACAAGGTATTATGTTCACTGAGCATCACTTTCTACAATTTTAAACAAAGGCAGTACCAAATGGCAAAACTGTCATTAAGTCCGTCTAGCCACACTTTCTTAACCTGGAATACAAACCTTTTTCCTCCAAAGAATAAAAATATCAGAACAATTTCATTTAATCCAGTATCACTAGAGGTTCTGTTGGTCCCTAACCACACACATAGTAAGGATATGTTAAAGTACAATGCAGCTTTGCAGAGAAAAGCACTAGTGTTCCTGTATTTATATGAACATCTACCCTGAGCCCTACCAAACTTAGTTTGAATAAGTTTAACTGGGAGCACTTCAGTGTCTTCAGTGAAGTTCAGCACATTTGCAAGAGCAGAGAACTTGGTCATGGAATGCAGATCAACAACTCTTGTGAAAATATTTTTAACAACTCATGAAGAGTGATTTTTATAGGACAGCTAAGACAATTAGAAAATTAAGAGTCCCTTTCCATTAATAAGAGATAATTACTGCATAATGACAGTTCAGGGATCCTGGGTGCCTTATAGAAACTACCTAGGGAACGCTCTCAGAAATCAACAAATGCACTGATCCTCAAAGGTAGCTGTATGAAAATTGCTGGATTATGAAGATTGTAAATGTTCTCATTCCTTTTGTTATTCTTTTGGAGGCCTTGCTTTTTCTCTTTCCAATTTCCCAAGCTTCAATGAAGGAACATCAGAAGGTGAAGCAGTACTTTCTGCTAAAACACTG